TATCTTTGTGAGATCGTTAAAATTTAGTATGTCGATCCAATATATATTATGTTTAGTGTTCTTATACATTTGTTCTATCGATCCAAACAACATACTTGGATACTTATTTGAAATGTTTTCATCTAACTGAATTTATCACTTCAGTTCTACAATCATTAGCAGGTAAACAGATGTCGATCTAAGAACTTTGTTTCAAAAGTCAATATACTTTAGACAGAGTAAGTGTCTAAAGCATAATAACCGGTTTACGTCCAGTTTTTAAGTCACTTTTCTGATTCGCTTATTGGATTGACATGAGATAATTTTGTCCCAACTTTTTCTTCCTTAAATTAATTTCTATTCTTTACTAATTTCTTTTGTTCTAAGCTTTTAAAAAAATCACTGCTGATTGGAAAATTCACATTGATTTCATTAACGTATGTTTTATATTTTCATTTAAATTAATAAATTCAGTGAATAAGATTCTAATTCAGATTTGTGTAGTAAGGACAGAAGGCCTACGGCCTATGTTACTCCTTTCCTACTATACTTCTGTGAGTCTTCTTTTGAGTGAGTCAATTGGAAGGTGCGGACAACACTGCTTCGGGTAACAGGTTCCAAGTATTGATGACTCGGTGTGAAAACCTGTATGCCACGGGTATTTTGTTCATTCTTGGCTTTTCTACTCGCCTGCTATGTCCTCTGAGATATCCCGACCTACTGGGAAGAAAAAGGGAGAATATGTTAGGTTCAAAATCACTTTTTAGTATTCTATGCGTCGAAATGAGATCTCTCCTTAGTCTGCGATAAGACAGAGTAAAGAGGTCCATCTTTTCAAGCTGCTCTTTATATGGTAAATCCCAGAGTTCTGTAATCTAAATTTAGCTAAGGTAGATATTAATTGAAACTGAATTTTTTGAATTCAGTATGGAAATTACCACTGCTGGTTGAAATGGTAAAGATTTTAGTTAAGGTTACATACAAATTTTTTTGGTATTGAATAAGTTTGTTGTATGTTTCATTTATTGGGTTAGTACCAAATATTAAAGTGTAAGTTTTACCAAGGATTTCATTTCAACTCATAATCTTTTACTGAATATATGTTTTTCATCTGATAATGACGGAATAAGAAGGTGAAGTCAAATATTGACTCAATGTAATTTTTAGTTCATTACTTCTGTCTTTCTTCTTAAAATTCAATATGATGGTTGTTCTGACTAATAATTGTTTTGTTTTCCAGTGTAATATTTTATACGGTATAACATTAATTTATTCGAGTGTAATGTTTATCCAATATGCCATATTATTGTATTAAATTAACATGCACTGTACTTATCATGACACAGAGCATGAGATTTGTTGAAGTTAGCGACGAACTTTAAACGTTCTCACTCGGACGCGTAGTTTTATATATAAATGCTTATTTTTCATGTATGTAATTTTATTTTAATTAATATGTAAAATGAATGTCTATTCAATATATTGTAGTGACCTACTTATCAATAGAACGCGATTGGTGTAATGAAAACATTTATTATAATAACCAATTGTACCAGGGATTGTTTTACTGCACTTGTTTGTTTAACTGTATCAAACACATTCTTCTGTTGATTGTGACCCTGCGCGAATTCAGTTACGCTCAGTAACCACACTTGTAACCTGGCACGATCTCGGTATTCTTTCGATACTACGAGATCGCGAACAAATACATCTCGACTACAGCCATCAACTGCCTTCTGATATTTGGTCTACGGGGGGTCTTATCGGTTAACTGGCACATAGTCTTCCTGTGTTGGTGATCATAGTCAACCGCGACTCGACACCACACTACAATATAATGAGTGTGTTTTCGGCCTGAGTCTTCGTCATGTTTTGGGATTAATAAATCTTTATTTGTTTCAGTTTTGGTGCATATGCTTCCAGTGGTTCCTCGTCTGTTTGTTTCTCGAAGCATGCAGAGACCTTACAGTACCCGCTTCAAACAGTCATACTAATTCAGATCGTAGGTGGGTACGTGGCATATGAAACATGAATACTGGGGATTTGCTATGCAACATCATCATCCTCTTGACAGTCCTCTGGAAAAATTGTCAGTAAACCTGAAAAACTCAGTCATGAAGCGGATAAATAAAGATATTCACTGAAAAAAGTAGGGGGCCTGTAACAGAAAGAGAACAGTGAAAATCCCTCTGCAGCTTCTTTGTTGAACAGTATTTTCATTTATTTGTTCCTTCTCCCTTTTGTGTATTCCAACCTTTGTTTCGACCTCGTTTAACCATGTCTTTTGTTCTTCAGTCTTCCCCGTTTGAGCTCTTTATTATGTGATTTTGATTAAAGACTTATTTTTGTTACCTAATTTTCTATTGCATGTTGCCGGACCATTGACAGTAAGGTTGTGTTTGACTAAGCTCAAGGTCACGGCGTGGTTCATTTTGTGACTGTTAACCTTCTGACTGTCTGCTTGGGAGAATTGCTGCAATCCCTGCAGATAGATATTTGATCCCATCTTATTGGGAATATTTGTATTGATTCTCAGGTATCAAACCCTTTAGTATTAACTGTCTCTTTCATTGTTTAGAGCGCTACTTGCGTTAGAGAAACTCCTGACTGTATAGCACAGGCTGTACCGTTTGAGGTATTTTGTATTTTTGATGTAATTTGTTCTGTTCTTAATTAGAACCGTTTATATTGAGCACAGAGTTGTGTTTTGATATAATATAATACGAGTATCTCAAAGACGCGTTGTGAGCTATACAGAGGAACTTGGTCTGGTCTAATCGAATAAATTTTGGGTTCGTCAGTCCGTTGACAGTTTCATCCGTCCCCATTTAGAGTACGGAAACATAGTACTCCCCCCCTCACTCCAAAAGGACAAGGTCACTTTGGAGCGCATCCAACGGCGAGCCACGAAATCAGTTCGAGGACTCAAATCTAAGCCTTACGAAGAACGCCTCCGTTCACTAGACCTTTACCCACTAGAATATAGGCGTCTTAGAGGTGATTTATTAATGGCTTATAGTATTCTTAACACTTCTGGACATCCTCTTAAACACCTACTTAAGCTTAGTTCGAATAATAACCTAAGGGGTAACACCCAGAAACTGGAAACATAACATAGCAAGACGGAATGTAGACATAACTTCTACTCCTTAAGAGTTGTCAAAAGCTGGAATTCGCTGCCGGCCGAGCTAGTTCAAGCGACTTCTCAGGAGTCCTTCAAGAGGCAACTTGACCTATTCTTAAAAACCAAGGACAGCATCACACTATGATTTACCAATTTCTTTTCCTCTTTTATTGTTAACATACCTAGGTTCCTGCTTGTAGGATTTGGTGATCCCCTGCTACTAGACACGGAAGCCTGTTAAGCGAAAGCTTCTTCTATTCCGTCCACAACCATTTGAACCTCAAACACTCCTAGGTGTGCCTCTGGTTAACTATATAAGTTCAGTCGCGACCAAAAATTTCGGAGTAACACCCAAATCTCGGAAGCAAGACACGGCAAAACGGACACAGAAACATCTTTTATTCATTACGAGCAGTCAAAATCCGTAATTTGAAGACGGTTGACGTGGTTCAAGACGCACTTTAGGAGTACTTCAAGAAGAAACTTGACATATTCTTAAGGACTAAGAAGTGTCCCACTATAATTTACTTATATTTTCTTCTTTTATCGTTAAATATACCTATGTTCTATCCTGGAGGCCTTGGTGATCCACTGTTACTAAATACGGAAGCCCTTCTATGCGAATGTTCCTTCTATTCCATCCACAACTATTTGAATTAACCTGATTGCATATCGATAACCATTTTAAAAAATTTCGACATAACACCTTAGATTCACAGAAATGCTGGGAGATGACTTCCAACTCATACCATGAATAAGTTATTTTCAGTTAGTCAGTCAGAGAATGATATTGTTCATTGTATGTTTTATGTGACCTCAAACACAATTCTCCGGGTAATTAAAAAACCCCGGCTGACCTTGGAAGTTGAACGTTTGTTTTGGCATGGTTGGGACTATTGGTGAGTTTTTATGTTTGTAAGTGTTCTGTTGTTAATCCTTAGGGAAAAACAATTGGAGGAAGACTCCAACCACTTTGGGTTTTTTGAACTTAGGGTACTTACTCGTCAGCTGTCACTGTGAAATTTATTTTGAATATGAATTTAATATTGCGAGTTACAGAGCATTAGATAGTGTCAATTCGTTATTAATAAGCTGCTGGTTTTCTCGTACTCCTGCGTTGGGTTTTGTTTGTGAGGGACCTCAACCTATTTAGATGAGTTTACGTCTGAATCCTCTATAATTGCTTCCCGGTTTGTATGTTAAAAGTCCATTTCATAGGGTTGGAATTCATTATTTGCACACTATCAGTGTGAATTAGGTTGTTTGATGTTTGTCATTGGTTTGTACGCTTTGATGTAGCGCTTTGTCGTTTTCATATCTCACGTAGTCTGGTCATTTTGATTCATAGTACGATTATACGTCTACCGGTTTGTTCATTTTCATGTACTTTCATTAATTTTGAGGACACTACCTCTGCTTTCTTCCTTACCCATGAATGATGCTTCCAAGATTGTGACGTTTTTCTTGGGGTTGTAGCCAAACTGTCCTTTATTATGCTACCACCATCTGTAGTAGAAAACCAGTTTTGATTTGTATTCTCTATCCAAACAAAATGGTTTGACAATTGCTCGCCTCTAAACTTGACCGCAAAATGATTGCGTATGCTAAGGATTACTCAACCGTTTGAAAATATCTACTAGCTACTCCTGCAAACTGTCTTCTAATCTAGACTAAAGGATATAATTTTACCCATGTTTTTAAGAAGGCCCGTCATTTAAGTAGTTGGGAGTTAAACGTTTTCATTTCTTCCCCATCCAATCAAAAAATAAGAAATTATTTTTGTATCTATTTTTCCTTTTGTAATTAGTCCTGTTTAACTGAGGCGATAAACAAGATTTCATATGGATAATATACTGTGGATATTCCTTGCAATTTACCTTATTATTTGCAATCACCAATGAATGTGTTCCACTCACCTAATTCTGCCCACAACTCCAAACATATCCTACCAACAACTTCTGATGTACCGTTAAATGGTACGGATACCTTTATTTCAGACAATTCCCAAACTATCATGACACGACTAAATAACTCAACTGACTCACATGCCAATAGTTCTTCATCTGTGCCTTTCTGTAATTCTCCGACTGAATTGTTTATTAATGTATCCTCATCTTGTCCACCACGTCTAACTACAACTACTAAGAAAACAATGTATGTCCGGGCTCTTTTTGATTATGATCCCAATATGGATACTGGTTTGCCAGGTCGGGTGAGTACTTATCTAATTTTTACGAATAATTTTCATGATTACGGGTTTTTAAAGTTCTGTTTATGTAACATTATCAGTTTGTTGTTGCTGCTGCTGCTATTACTATGTTTTTTTTAAAAACCATTCATTGTACCCATATTTATACGCTTTTATGTGTGTTGCTGTAGGCATTTAGTACGTGTGTATTTTCAACAAATTTCATTGTTTTTCAGTTCTTCGAACTCGTCAGTCACATTTACTTGTGATCTAGGGAAAACTGATGCTCCTTTGGTAATTTAAACCGATTAGATCTGTTGACTGATAGAAATTCGTCATCGAGAAAGCCCAAGCAAAACTTGGTACCAGTCCATGCTGATAGAAATACTATGTATTCGGCCTTGGAAATCGATAGGGAACTAAATGGTCAAGATCATTATTGGCCGACTGAATCTAGTTTAATACATACACCTGCTAAGCATTGTCCTGGCGTAAAACATTTCGAAATGAATTATAATTAATTTGTTAACAGAATAATGATTAGTAATCGCAAGTAGAATTAAACTAAAACCTTTTAACCACAATTCTGAGTACAAAATGTGCGATATATATCATATTATTTCTCGCTCAAAACTTTCTATACACATGTGTTTCGTCAACTATTGTAGTCACTTAATCCAATTGTCAAGCGTGTTGCATCGGAGTTAGGGGAAGTTTGTTTGTGTGCTCGTGAGCCATAATGTACATGGATGCTATTTGAACATGCTGTGTACATACAGCTATACTGTACTTCAGCGCCTTGATTTTTCTTAAAATTGGCACGCTCTAAAAGATCTCAGATTATTCAAGCCAGTATATAACTTTGGGACTAAAATATAGTCAGTATTTATGTGCCTGACGTCGATTCTAAAGATAAGTAGTATACTTTGTATATATTTGACGATAAATGATCATTGACCACTTATTACACCTGTTACTAATGCGTTGTGATTAATTTGGCCTTTGGAGTTTAATCGCATTTAATAGTCTTATGGGGATTGTGTATGGATTAGTTGGTTGGAAGCAATTGGCATGGGTCATTGGATCTAAGTTTCGTGTTATCTGGACTCGTCAGTAAAGTACACTTCCTGCTCTAGGGAAATCAATATTTGTTGAATTTGAACATGGATCAGCAAGTGATCATTTTGTGAGTGATTGATGCAAATGAACCAGGATTTGGTGGACACAACATTGATCGATCTTTGTAAAACTTCCTTCCAGGAGGTTCACTTATCGACTTAGAATACACAGATGACATGGTCCTGTTTAGTGAAGACGCTGATAAAATGCCGAGTCTTTTGTTAGCACTGAGCTATGTTTGGGGTGCGTTTCTTCCTCTCTAGGTGCAAGTTGTTGCTTTAGAACTGGCCTGTATCAACACCTGAACTAAGGATAGGTAGTGAAGTAGTCGAACGCGTCGACAACTTCATTTATCTTGGAAGTTTGATCAGCCCCAATGGGTTGGTGTCTGGTGAAATTTCAGCACATATTCAGAGAGATCGTTTCGGTTTTGCCGGCTTACGTCACTTACGGCGAGGGCGAGATATCTCTATCAGTTCGTTCTGGTCTACTTTGCGGCTATGAAACGTGGTCATTAATGGTAGAAGATACTCGTAAGTTATTGGTATGTGGTCGGAGATGTCTTAGAAATATTGCTTGTGTCTGCTTGGATCACCGGGTAAGTGAGGTTAGACGCAAGGTCTTAGGTAGTGATGGCTAATCTTCATCGACTGAGAGGGTTGGGCCACGTGTTACGTATTCCTGAACACCTATTACCACGACGCGCAACGCTGACTAGTATTGAGGACGGTTGGAAGTAAGTTGAGGGCGGACAAACGAAAATGCGGCACCAGTCCATTATGTCACTAATTTCTAATCTGAGCCATTTTGGTAAATACAGACCACTTGGTTGGGGTCCGCGCGACAATCGTAACCAACGGTTGGAGGCTGTAGATGACATGGCTGAGAATCAATCACAATGGCGTGGGCATATACTCTTTGTCTTCCCTTAAATCGTGGGATTATACTTGCTTTATACCTTTCTTTCTACGGACTAATTCTTTCTCCTTGTATTATATCCCAACATGCAATCTCTCTTTCATATATTAGTATCATTGAAGTAACTACTTCTATGAATTTGGTGTTGATCTTGTTGTGCTAATGAATTGGCAACTTGAGCCGATGCATGTGCCTGGTTCTGCGTTGTAGCTGACTGATTGATGCCAGAAGTTATGGTCATCACAGACTAATATGAAATAAAAAATCATTCCTAGCTAATAATTCAGTAATCTACATTTCGAACTTCAGTCGGTTCGAGTTTTGATGTGATTCTCATATAAAGTTATCGACGATCTGTTTAACTCATATGTTGAGCACTACAGTTTCAATTTCCTCCGGATTCTCAATGATTCTCCAGAAAAATGTCAGTTCGGGATGAATTTTATCTTCGAACAACAACAGTTTTGTTAATCTAAACTGTCGTAGTTATTTGTTGATAAAATCAGCTTTAGAATCATAAAATTGAAGCTTGGAAAGATGTGCCCCCTGAATGCCCTGGTACGGCCGAGAGTGGGGAGAGTCCGCTCTCCCTCTCGAAATACTCTCACACGGCCACGCGTATACAGCCTCTGCCAGGGAAGTCCTACTCATTGCCCTCTCGTGGCGGGGGTGTTGTTTACGAAAATGAGAGGACGAAAAGCGAATGTCCGGCGCTTTAACCGGATTCCAAATCAATGGTGCACATGGGCTCCAGTATCCTGCGGGAACGAATGGGGTATGAACCAATCGTTGGTCACCGGCTACCATGGGACTGCATCTCCTTACGATGCTCCACTGCCTTGTGGGTTAGACCTTTAGGTCAAAGGCTCGGGGTGTGGCCCCCTAAGATAACCACCTGCTTCGGTTTGGGCACCCGGGCAGTATCACAGCCCACACACAAATTGATGAACTCTTTATGCCTATGGAAATTACCTTTCTCGCTTTGAAAAACAAACAATTGATTCAGATTATTATCATTACAATTATTGTCATTATTGATACTAATATTATTATTACTACTATTATTGTCATTATTGTTATTATTATCATTATTATTATTATTTTCCACATTATTCACCCTCTTCTATACTTATACAGCGGCTCGTCTTTGGTGGAAATTCGACTGTATCTAAACGTTCTCGAGTCACTGTCCGGTTGGAAATTGTATGTTACCACCGAATACGAGGACTGAAGCAGATTTTCTGAAACCACGTGCACCATTCAAACTGGCTGCCTTCAACGTTCGCACATTTATGCAGGTCGGACAACAGATAGGGCTGGCTATGTCTTTGGAAAGTCTTAATATCGACGTGTGTTGTCTATCCGAGACCCGTACTCAAGACTCTGGCGAAGTACTACAAATTCGATCTCCATCTGTCGCTTCGAAAAGCTTGTTTTACGTGCGCTTATCCGGGGACCCTGTGGCATCTTCGTCTGGTCTTGCTGGCGTTGGTGTCGCACTAAGCGCTAGAGCTGAGGCAGCACTAGTCGATTGGATCCCCATTAACAGTCGGTTATGTGCTGTTAGATTAGAAAGTTCCATCAAAGTGAGAAGAAATCGGTGTGAGAAACGATGTCTTTTCGTCATCTCCGCCTATGCCCCGACAGATTGCAGCCCGGATGCAATCAAGGATGAGTTTTACCACCAGTTATCAGTTCTTCTCCAGAAAGTGCGTTCGACAGATATTGTAGTACTAGCCGGAGACTTGAATGCTCAGGTCGGGCGTCTAGGCACAGAAGAGTCGTTTAGGTGGCCGATGGGGACTCGTTGGTCGCAGGTCAGATAACGGGGACCGTCTACTGCAACTTTGCACAGACCACAACCTGTTTCTGGCTAGCACTAACTTTCGGCACAGTCATCGCCGATGTGCCACCTGGCGTCCTCCCTCTGCATCTCAAGCCTGGACTCAGATTGATCACATCGCGATCAGCTACCGCTGGCGTGGTTGTGTGCAAGACTGCCGCTCCTTTTGGAGTACCTATCTGGACTCTGACCATGCCTTGGTCTGCGCCAATCTTGCCTTACTTTTCAGTGGACAACGAAGTGACCGCCATCAACGGATTGATGTTAGCAAGCTGGTTGCAACTTCTGTTGCAAGTAAGTATCGAACCGAGCTAGCCTCTAGGCTAGCTACCACTCCACCGAAAAGTATAGATGAGCATTGGTTGCAATTGCATGACGCCATGAAAATGGCGGGAACAGTCAGTTGTGGGTTTGCGAAACGTCCCGCTTTTAAGCACTGGGTTTCTTCTGGTTCCTTACGACTCATTGAAGCCCGTCGGTCTACTCCGGGTGACCGTGAGTTTGACCATAAACGAAGGATGTTACGTGAGGAAATTGGGCAAAGCTTGCGTAAGGACCGAGAAGCCTGGTGGTCGATGCGTGCTAATGAGCTGGAAGCAGCAGCTGTATCTGGTAACTGCCGGAAGCTCTTCCAGCTCATCCGAGCCACTGGCAGCAAGAAGTCTGGTGTGAGTGAAACAATCTGCGAGGATGATGGGATGCCAATCACTAACATCCATCGACGTCTTGGACGATGGGCAGAATTTTTCGAAGGGCAGTTCAACTGGCCTGCTGCTCCGGCAACATCGGTCAGACTGTCCTGCCCTCCATGGCCGGTGACGACTGATCCACCAAATGAGGAGGAAGTCCGCAAGGAACTCCAACTCTTGAAGCGTTACAAATCACCTGGCCCAGATGACTTACCTCCGGCTCTTTTTAAAGATGGTGGTGACTTTTTGACTAAGGAATTGACGACGTTGTTTACAAAGGTTTGGGAACTAGAGAGTGTACCAACGTCATGGAATGAGTCGATAGTTGTCCCTATCTTTAAAAAGGGTTCACGTCGTTCTTGTAACAACTATCGGGGGATAAGTTTACTTCCGATTGCGTCCAAGCTATTGGCTTCCGTCATTCTTCGTATGTTGTTCAAAACCCGAGAAAGATT